CCGATCGTATATCATAGGTTCCATTTGTGGGGGGTTTTTTTTTTTCAGGCAAAAAAAAAAAAAAAAAAAAAGATAAAATTTCAATTTATGAAAAATGAAAACTTGAATTCAACTCACAGCCATATAAGGTGTTGAACCAACGGTTCGCGTATGAGCTTTTGAATCAATCAGATAGCCAGAAATGCCAAAATCACACAATTTAATAATGCCCTGATCATTGATCAATATGTTTGAAGGTTTAATATCACGATGAATTGCTTGGAGCTCTTTTTTAAGATAATCCAATGCATCGATTGTCTAAGAAAAAAAAACATCATAATCATGAAGATCTCGGACAAGATAGTCAACATACAGCGACAGCAACTTTTCCGATTATCCGTTCTGGAACGGTCTCGTTGCGTTTGGATAGATGTTTGATTAATCGATCAAAACACGTGGCCATCAATTCCATGAATATCCATATTTCGGTTTCGAGTATTAAGTATCCATAACATTGTACCACATGTTCATGGTTTGATTTTTGCAATAGATCCCTATCTCTTTGTATATGCCGAATTTCATCCGGGTTTCCACTTCGGCGCATTTTCTAAAAATAATTGATGAAATGATCAATAAACGTTCACGATAATGACAATGAATGATACCTTAACAGCCAAATGAACATTTGATGGTCGATGAAGCATTTTACACACCTGGGCAAAACTACCCGCACCAAGTTCACGGATCTGAAGAAAATCACTTTCTTTGACATTTTCGAATTTCTATGTAGATAATTAGGAAAAAATTAAATGATGAATATTAAATTATTAATACAAAATAAAATTACCGTTTCACCGATTGTTAATAGAAAACTATTACGTGATAATTCCAAACGATTCTGATAATAAACACTATGTGGAGTAGAAACACCGCTTGCTGTACATCTAGCCGAACCAACACGTCCACTTGAATTCGTTACAGTATTTGCTGAGACTTTCCCACTCGAATCATGATGATAATTTTGTTTATTCGAGTGATGATAATGATTGTTGCTGTTATTACTACCATTGGGATTGTCAAACAAACCATCACAAGGTCGAGGTTGCGATCGATTCTGTACATTAGATGATGATGATAATGATGCTTTTAATTTCAGTGGCTTCGGTATACGATTAGGTGCACCACCAGAACAAACATCACCAAAACGACTAGAATTATGATGACCATCCATCTGTTTCAACATATTATCTTGGCTATTCGAAAGACTCACTATGAAAGATATAAGTATGAATTTTTGTTAATAATCTATTTTTGAATATTATATAGTCGTGAAAAAAATTCTTACAATCTTTAGGCCTTGGTCTTGGACTTAATGAATGTTTGTCAATTAAATCGGTACTAGCCGATTGTTGTTGATACGCTGGGGAATTTTTATGTGAACGTAAATCCAATTGAAGACGAGAAGCGTTACCTCCAGATGAGTTATTATTGTTATGATAATGATGACTATGATGGCCACCACGTTGATTGACATTCAATGAATATTGACGACGAAAATTAACAGGAGAATCTGGTGTATTTATTGCTGAATAGCTACTTGGACCAATTCCGATAGAAGAAGCATTATAAGGTCCGGGCGTTAAAGGAACTTGACCACCGAATGATGTTGTTGACGATGATGATGATGCTGTCGATTGATTATTACTATAATGCATTTGATAACCATAATCTAACGAATGATTATTTGGTTGTTGCTGCTGACGATTGTATTGATAGTATGGCGGTGTATTATTATGATAATTATTATTATAAGTTGGATGATGATGATGATTGGAGGCATTGGTTGGTGATACTGGATTCATTGTACTTAAGGTAGTTGTACCACCAGGTGTGTCGGGTGATCTTGACGTTGACCAATGAGAAGATGATAATGAAAGTGATGATGGCGGCAATACTTGTTGTTGATGAAGATGTGGCGATTTGATGGTTAATGATGGACTATTATTATTCACTGTCGTCGTAGGCTTTAATGATATTCGTATTGGCGTATTGTTTGCCAAAGCATTTGGAGATCGAATCATGGTTGTTGTTGTCGTCGTCATAGTTAATGATGTAGTAGATGTACATTGTATATCGGCGGCATTATTTTTGATTAGAAAATGTGAAAGTTTATCATTCTTTGCTGATGATGATCTTGCTGATTGTGGTGTTGACTGTGGTTGTATCGAACCACTGGACATGTTTGTCTGTGATGAATTCTGTCTCACAATCATTGAAGAAGATGATGAAGGTCGTTGATTCTGAAACCAACCTTTAAGATGATCAGTAAATTTTCCAAAGAATTCCATTGTTTTTTTTTTTTTTTTTGGTTTCTGCAAACAGGGTATTTTTTAGTGGTTGTGTTTTTGTGTTTTTTGG